ATTTTGCTTGTTTTTTGGGTTTGACCAAGTAAATACCTTTTTACCCTTACCCTTTTTTATAAATGGCATTTTTTCCACCGTATTAAAAAATCATTACACAACATAAAAGGCATTTCAGCAATTCGTCATATTGATTTTGCTTATTAGTAAGTAGATAGCCAAACATAAATGTGCTTAACATACTTATAAGACAACATATCCAAACACGCATAACTTTAACTTATTTTACTTATAAAAGCTTTTTTTCATTTTTTAAACATGCCCACCCAAACGTGCTCTATATGTTGCACCAAAAGAGTTATAGAAATTTGTAGAAATTATCCTATACACTTTTCTGGCCTAGATGGGATGATCGAGACACTTCTTTTGATGGCAAAATTCTCACGATATTTATGATGCTAATAATATCCTAATCCGATGGTTACTCTATAGTGTGTTATGCATGTAAGTCGGGTGGAAAGGAGAGAGGAATCTTATGTAAACTGAAAATGATTAAGTATTAAACTTTTTGTTTTTGAGATTTAACTATGTATCTCGGTGTCTCTCCCATCATAGTAGAAAGTAAGATCAGAAATATACTGTGGACTCGTAGTTAAACAGATGAGTCAGCTTGATATTATGGGCAAGAGAGACATCTTCAGTTAATCCATTTATGTATTTTTCTTTTTGATGGGATTTCCAAAAACAATATTGGACTTGGGCAAATTTCAAATTTTATTCAGTATTTTCTGTAAGTATAGATTATAACTTTTGAATATCCGGAATTGACGATTGCTTTTCTTTGTCCGTCAAAAGATTGGCATTCCATATACTCACAGATGGTACATTCTGAAAATATTCGGGGTCTTTTTACCCTTAAAGCTTAAAAAGCTTCTTGGCGAGTGTGCTCCTCCAAATGTTATGAGAACAGCATTAATCAACATGTCAATTCTGATTTGAATTTTGTGTTTGCAGGACTTAGTGAGCGGGTTTGATCAAGAGGTTGCTGCTGTAGTCATGGCTAGATTAGCTTCCTATAAAATGGAGATGGAGGTACTTCTATAATTTAGTAGGACTGTTGTAAGCATACCATCACGCATGTGCACGCACGCACGCACCTCATTCGTCTACTAAAAAACTTATTTGTTCATATGGAGTATGTCCCAACTCTTAGATGTTGTTGGCTGATGTACTTGGGGACTTGTATTTAGGATAGATAGATAGTTGGCTTACTTCTGATACATATGGCTTGCACTCACATTTTGGTGCTTTCTCTGAGGATACTTTTTTATTGTGGAAGGGAAAAACTCGGCGTCAACTACAAAGTGCAGCCTACCAGAATGTATATTAGGTATAGGACCACCCAGAAAGTCCTCCATTATCTGCTCAATCACACAACCTACCTTATCTCCCAAATGGATCCCTCACATTATACATAATGAAATTAAGTGATAGGAAAAATGTCAAGATTGGAGTATGTAAAGTTAGCATGCGATGAGTGAGAAGATAGCTAAAGTTTTAGTGGGTGTCATCCTGATTACTTGGCACACCAACTTGCTACATTGAACTTAATTGGTAGGATATGATTGGAAGAATATATTACTTGTATCACCTAAGTGAAGTACATTTCTCTGGATTCCATTACTCTAGTAGGCAGTACTCTGATGGTTAATTCTATATTGTCAGGAAGGATTTGACGCCACAAGGTGGTTAGACCGAAATTTGATTCGTCTATGTTCCAAATTTGGTGACTATCGAAAGGACGATCCATCCTCATTTACGTTAAATCCCTGTTTTTCGCTGTTCCCTCAGTTCATGTTTAATCTGCGGAGATCACAATTTGTACAGGTGATATTTGCTTGAAACTGTATTTTCTTTTAGTTTTATGTATATGACATTCAAACTTTACGAACTCTCTCTCACAGGTGTTCAATAATAGTCCCGATGAGACGGCCTATTTCCGCATTTTATTGAATAGGGAGATTATAAGCAATGCTGCTGTCATGATTCAACCATCGTTAATATCATATTCATTCAATTCACTACCTGCACCAGCTTTACTGGACGTGTCATCCATTGGAGCTGACCGTATCCTATTGCTTGATTCATATTTCAGTGTAGTTATTTTCCATGGTACGACAATTGCTCAATGGAGAAACATGGGTTATCAGAATCAGCCGGAACATCAGGTGTGCCTTGTTAAACTTGTTCGATATTTTGAATTTACATTTCAAAGTAATATATGTATTTGTAAATTTAGATATTTTAGGAGGAGGAAGTCTTTTATGAGTCTGCTGCATCAGCAGTATTATATATTTTTTCTTTAAATCTTTAGTTTCTACCTAACCATCAAATTCATTCTTGAAAACTTGGTAATTTTTATTTTGAAGTTGATTGCGCTTATTGTAAAAAATAAATTCTTGGAATTTCAGTATTTCAGTTTCAATTTTGCTGTAGACGTGGTAATATTTATTTTTCTCGTGTATGACAAGTCTTCCATCTAATAAACCTAATTTTCCCTTGTCTTCATAGGCTTTTGCGCATTTGTTACAAGCTCCGCATGATGATGCTGAATTGATTATTCGTGACCGGTTTCCAGTCCCGAGACTGGTGGTCTGTGATCAGCATGGTTCCCAGGTCACCTTTCTGTCTTCATCTTAGTTTGGTGCATATTCTGTGTGTGTGTGTGTGTAAATATAGGAGTGAGCTAACTGTTGAATCTTCATCTTTGCTTGATGATGCACATTTACCTGTTCCGATTCTTAAAAATGACACATATTGTTGTGTGCATGTTCCTCCAACCCCCTCCGTGCATTTCTGGCAGGGCTAAAATGACTTCTGTTTGAGAATGAAACCTGATTGCCTTAAGATAGAAACTGGTTTTCCTTGTGATGATGTTGTATTGCTGGTCATAATTTTACTTCAAAAACTTACATACAGCTACATCAAAACTGGCTACGTCATGTCTTTATTTTAATACTTGGACCTGTTTTGAGCAGGCGAGATTCCTGTTGGCGAAGTTGAATCCATCTGCGACATACAGCAATGCACACGAAATGGCAGCTGGCTCAGATGTGATATTCACCGATGATGTGAGCCTACAAGTGTTCATTGATCATCTTCAGCAGCTGGCTGTCCAAGCTTCTTAAGAACGTGAAAGAGTTGGGATTCCTATGGTCAATTTCTCGATTTTGTGATAGAGTTGGGATTCCTATGGTCAATTTCTACCTTCTACACATTAACTGTGAGAATGAGAAGTCCAGAGCCTTCACTATTGGAAACAAGGAGAACAGTTCTTTCGAGGGGCATGTGAGAAGAGGTGTTCCCTTTTTTGAACAGAATAGGAGTTTGAGAATTACTGTTTAGAGTGGCATTGTTATAAGGGTGGAGTTGTAAATTAAAGACATTTTTGGTGGACAGACAGGTTAGGAAGATATTGATAGTCTTTTGTTGCCTTAATTTTTGTCAGTACCAAGAGAGGATTACATAGTTTACTGTATGTATTCAATTTTTGAGATTTAAGAATGTTGTTTTTCTAGGCTTTCACTTTCTTTGCTCAAATAATATTCTCTCTGGTCCAGTCCGCATGGACCATGGGACCCTGAACCAGTGCCCTGCTCTATCTTAGAATATTAGAATTTCGGTTGAGCTCTATCTTATAAGGTGATTCTTGTTGATGCATACTGGATTTCATGTATGTCAGATTGTTCAGCTACTGAAGTTTGCTACCTATGGTGTAGCACACTTTTGTTTTTGCTAATAGCACGACATTTGTATTGTCCAATCACAATCTGATTTTTACGATTTAAAATACCTTTAATTTGCTTGTCACAATTACGAAAATCACTTTGTTAATAAAAATTGACCTCATAATATTACTATCTCACCAAAGTTTTTCTCCTTGCTGAGTGGAATTGATAGAAAGAAAGGGCGAGAGGGTATGGTAAAACCTCTATAAAATAATAATGATGGAATTCATAGAAATTATTATTTTAAAGGGGTTATTAATTTATTGATAAATTAATATTTGTGAATTTATAGAATATTAATTGTAGTTTTTTTTTTTTTGGACGATATTGGTATGTTTGCTAATCTTAAATGGTTAAAAATGTGAATATGAACAATCTTAATTGTTATTATCGAGCAAATAGGAAAGCAAGGATGATTGGTTTACTTTTTCAAAAGTTTGTTTGTTGGTTTGACAAGATGATGAATGCTATCAATTTTATTAACGCGGCTTGGAACACTGATGTGAAGGCAACAAATATTGCAAATTGTTTTCGACGCAAGATTAAATAAAGATATTAATGTGGAATCAAAAGTTAGTGAAAATGAAGGAATCAATAGATTTCTTAAAGCTATTTCTAATGTATGTTATAGAAATGTGATGGATGTCGAGCATCTTTTAAACTATTATAGTGAAAATGAAGCGGTGATAGAATATCCTAACGATGAAGATATTATTCAAAGATACTCAATGCATCTATCAATGATGATCATGATCCAAATGTCAATTGTGTTTTACTAATTATTTCCTCAAAATAGGCATTTCAAGTAGTCATATCCTTAAATAATTACTTTGTACGAAATAAATAAATAAATATACTGTAAAAATTAGGGATAAAGTTGAGTTTGGTATGGGTGCAAAGAAAAAGTAAAAAACTTTAGATGCATATTTTGAAAAGGAAGAGGAGGTGAAGGTGAATTGAAAAACATAATGTCAAATAAAAAATTTATTTTAATTTGTATTAATACAAACTTTTGTGAATTTTAGCAGTTATTATTTTGTATATTCATTGGGCTTTAAAGGATATTAGAAAAATTATTATCTTATGTATTTCATAGTGTTATTAATTTAGTACAATGGCCAAGTCGGAATCGAAGAATAATATTTAAATGAGATTATTAATTAGGAAAACTTCAAATCTAAGATATTAAGTTCGACATATTTCAAAATTAAGAAACAAAATTTATTATTTCAAAAATCTGATATTAATTAAAATTTATTTATGAATTAATTCATTAAAATATATTTTATTAATTAAATATATTAAGGTCACAATTCTATAAAATTGGCCACAAAGTATTGAATTAATTGATTACAAATGATTTCTTAGTCACGAATCAAAAATTTTATAGCTCACAAATTATTTCAGTCACAGATCAAAAATTTTATAAATCAGATTTTATTCATCGGTCACGCATAAAAAAATAAATTAATCACAATTTATTTATTGGTCACAAATTTTATAAGTCACGATTCAAATTTTTATGTTACATATTATTTGTTGGTTACAAAATATTCAATTTATTGAACACAATCTCAAATAATTGATTACATACTATTTATTGGTCACAAGTAAACCAATTTATTGATCAAAACGCCCCCAACCCACGCCATCCCACTCACAATCACCGCTACCACCACCATCACCATCTCCATCTCCATCACAACTATCAATCGCCATCGCCATCGCCACTACAACCACAACTGTAATCGCTTGCGCTTCCACCTACACCATCAACAAAAACCACCTTAAACCCCTACACCACCAAAATATGAAAACCACCACCACCACTCCAACACAAAAATCAAAACCAACACTTCACCGCCGCCACCACTTCTAGCACCATCATCACGACCTGTACTACCAAAGTAACCCACCATCGCACAAACATCACTAGCGGCACCAGTTGTCAGCCAAAGGATGTCCCTCGCCAAGGTCCCTAGAGCCACCACCACCATCACCACCCTCGTTATCGCCCTCGTCGCCAAACCTACAACCACTGTTGCTCCTCTACCTGCACAATCGACAAAAACCCCCAACACCAAAATCAACTCAAACCACCATCAGCAGCATCAACACCACCACCACACCCCAAGCAAATTCACCACCACCATCAGCATCTCACCACCGCAACGCCTCATCACAACTACGACGACGACATGAAAATCACCGCAAAGCATATCTAACCGACACAAAGCAGATCTAATACACCGCAGTATGAAAATCAACCCAAGTTGGTACGTCGTGATGCCGAAGATGACGCCACCGCTCTCGAATCTTCAAACATGGGGATGACGTTGACGCTCACTTCGTTTGTGTTTATGTTTGCATATTAGTTCGGTAAACGGGGTAAGGGTTCAGCAAATACGATAGGTCGTGCTGTTGTTGCGTCGACGGTGTCATGTTGTGGTTGCGGCAGCGGCGTGCAAGATGTCGCCTCCGGTGGTGGGGTTTGGTGTTTTAAAATGAAAAAGAAAAGAGAACGGAGAGAGACGGAGGGAGAGGAAAATATGATTAAAATGTTTTAAAATATTATTATTAATATTAAAATGTTGAATTTTGATTGATTTTTGTAAGAACAAACTTTAAATCTGTTTTTTGAAATGATAATTTCAAAAAAATTGATTTCATGAAATTTTTAGTTATTTAATTTATCCAACATTCATTTGTAAGGAAAGATCTTGGGTGAAAAAAGAACTTTTCTTTAATTAGGAAAAAAGGAAAACCGTCAGCCAAACCCAGAACCCATAAGCCCTTCGCTGGATTTCCTTCCCCAACTGAGGTGAAACCATGAATTTCTTCAAACCCAAACAAGCTGCAACTTCTCCTCCGCCACCGCCGAACCACCTTCTTCACCAAGCCTTCACTTCCCTTCAAACCCATGTCTCCAATTTCCTCGAAAACCTTCCTACTCCCCCTCCTATTAAATCCCCTCCTTGGGCCAGAATTTCGAACCAGAATAATGGTGTAAACAGCACCGGCTTCTTTTCTCCTAACAGTAATAAGAATTCTAGTGGTACCACAAGAAGTAAAAGTTATGCTATGACTGCAGATGCCATCGAGGAGAGGCTGGCTGGAGTGCCAGTATATGCACTGACCAACGGTTCGCAGGAATTCGTGTTAGTCTCGGGTGTAAATACGGGGAAAAATCTCGGACTGTTTTGCTTCAGTGAAGCTGATGCTGAAACCCTTCTTAACCAGATGAAGTCCATGGATTCATCCATGCGCTCTGGCTCTCAAGTTGTTGCTGTCGCACTTAGCAAGGTATATACTGATATTCTGTACCTGTATGTTGGTATGAGGACTATAATTTGTTGCTGAATTTCAGTTTTTCACTGGGGAGTGTGTAATGTATAATATACTGAAGTTGTACCTAGTGCTTCAGGTTTCAAAACTTATCTATGCAGTATTTGTATGTTGGTACTATTGTTACAACAAAGTCTTGGACGAAATTCTGGTATAAAACGATTTGATGGTTTCATTTTGCTTTTCAAGTTCTATTTTCTTTTTATAGGACGGAGAAACTTTGCCGGTTAGTTATTTGGTGTTTGAGCATGTGTTAAGTTGATATTAAAAATATTGAGATTTCTATTATATGATAGGATTGTGATACTGTATTTTTTGTAATATGAGAAAAGGTTGAGATCGAATTGAATAAAAAAAATTCAATTGTTTTAATTCTATGAGCTTGAAATAGATTTATTTTAGTTGATTGTAATGGGAAGCAATGGTCACAGATTTTTCAGCTCAAAGTTGATGGAGTGGCTTTACGCTTGGTTCCGGAGGCTGCTCAGATACGAAATGCAGTAATGGTGAGAGACATATATTTTACTCATCTTATCTTCGGTGGCCTTCTCTTTTTCTTTTTCTTTTTTTAATATATATTTCTTTTTACATTGCTCTTTATTGAGCAATTAATTTATTCATTACATGTGAACAGCTGAAATTGAAGAAAACTAATTGGTAACTAATCTGTAATATTTTAAAATTTCTGTTTGATGCAATAGAAATTCAATGGATTTTTTTTTTTTTTCTGTTTTACTATATTGCAAATGAAATATTGTGATGGGAGCGTAAAAGAGGATATATACATGTACTGCAGATTTATGGTCAGTCTTTGTAATTGGTTCCCATAGATAATGTGCATTTAGATATCTGCATCAGCAAATATGGATTTGAAATTAAAATTTTGGTGATACATTTCAAGAATAGTTGTAGATAAAATTTAATGGCTTTAGGAGTGCCTTAGTCTTATTAGCTAGCCAGCTATGGGAAGCAGATATTAATACCTAAGATAGTTAAGTATCAAAAGATAAAGATGTAAATAAGGTTACAGCTAAAATCATGTTGTAAAGTAGTATATCGTTTTTGTATTTGTATGGCATATACTTCTGGACCCAATATTTATATCAATTATTTAGTTGAGATTCCTAGTTACTAAATACTGATGTTTTTAATATGGTATCTTACTATTTGAATGTATGAGTGAAGGATGCTTGGCAATGTATGCTTATTAAACATATCCTAAGGTTATCTTCCCTTGGTGCATCGATAAAATTGGGTGCATCAACATATTTGTTAGATTTGCTTTGAAGTGAATTATTGACCTATACACTTGTCTCACATCTTCAGTCTTTCTCATAACCTTGTCTTATTCTCAACTTGTGTGAAAAAATTCTGGCGTTTACCTTAAAAATTTGTTTTCAACATTAAGTTGAAAAATAGGAATGTTTCAGCGGTTCTTTGTGACAAAATTAGATTCATGTGATGCAAAATTACCCTCGAAACTGTTTCTACTTACCTTGCTTAGCATTTATGGCACTGTTCTCCCCTTAATACTTGATTTGGCTCCTTTTTTTGTGAAACGAAGAACATCATAGCTCACTTTGTTAGAATCTCACTCTGTGACATTTTTCTAGTTTCAGTAGGAATTCAAAATGTATATATCGAGTTGTTGGTGTTTTCAACTGGAATTTTAAAATATCTATAAATAAGCAAGTTTCTTGGTGACAATTTAAATAAAAATACTGCTTAACTTTTGTTTCCTGGTTGAGGGAACTCTAAAGAAATGCCTATGTAATTTGTATCTATCAAGAATATTGTAGGCTTAAAATGTTCTTTGGCACGCCTCTATTTTACAGGAGAGGAAGAAGGCTGGTGTTCTTGATGAGAGCTTTTCTGGGGTTCCAGTTTTCCAGGTTACTTCCTTACATTATCTTCGACTATATTTTTTGAAACCTATGTGATGTTCATTCCTGGTATTAATTTAAGGAAAAGAGAAATTTAGGTGACAAAAAAAACATGAAAATGATACAAGTTATATTTGCCCTATAAAAAGGATTGCTTAGTATAAGACTTAGAGACACGATTCTTATTCAGAAAATGGCTGTCAAGAATAATTTTTAGTTATTTAAACCATGAAGGTTCTATCAGCAACAAGTTAATACTGTGGAGTTTAGATTGATTACATAACCACACGGGAAGCTCGATCAATCAGTAAAGTGTTCATTCTTCCAGTAGGTAAGCCAGAGTTGCTGAAAGAGCGTAAAGAACATTGTTTGAAAACTCATAAAGTGATGATGAAAGAGAGGTTCTTTGTCCAGATTCCAGAAACACGCTAATTATTTTTCAAATTCAGTGCATTTAATTTTCTAGGAGTAATCCTTGAGACCTCCAGTCTATGGCATGGACTATACCACATTAGTAAATGGTCATCTAAGGAATAGAGTTTGCTGCCTTCAACTATTAGGCTAGATGCTATTTTTCACTCTGCTCGTTCTTGGTGTACCCATATGCACCTGAGAAAAAATTATAGCCCCTCATTTCTTTGAACTAAACCTTTGTGTGAATCAAACTCTTAAACCTGTTACCCCTTCAATCAATCTCACCAACTAAATCACTTCAGTCTAGTTGGTATTATGAATCCTGTGTGATTATAAGGGGGAATCCAAAACAAAACAAGGGGATATCTGCATATGCCATTAGTGAAGTGAAGAGATTTCTAAGGTGGAGAAGAGCAGGGAGAGGAGGGGGGAGAGAAATTTATTGACCGTGGTAACACTTTTCATGATAGCGGTTATTGATTGTTAGGCTTGCTTGGACAGTCACATAGGTAGATGTCTCCAGACAGTTGGATCAGGTTTTTTTATTGTGGTACAAGGAACTACATAGCATGGAACCAGGTCACGATTGGAGAGGAGTCACTCTTCATTGGCTATACATGAAAATTCCTTCCTTCATTTCCAGTTTGCCAGGTGAAATTATATTGCTACACCTTCAAATATAGAAATCAGTAGTTTTGTTATCTTGTAGTTTTTGAGTTAAGAAACCACTGCAATTGAACATCCGTATACCCATATTTTGTCATTACTGTGTGCATGAATTCTTTTCTAGATATATCCTGAATTTCCATCCTAACATGTGTATTCCAGAGGATTGTCTTTCTTCTTGTTACAATGGGACAAAGTCTGTTTGATCTCTCTATATTGTTGCCCAACCCATCTATCTCTGGATTGATTTCGAGGGAGAAGTGCTGCCAATCTAGTCATATGTTATGTGTAGTTGCTTTAACGGTCTTGTTTTTGAGCTTAGAACTATCTTACAGTGTTACTTCGATTGCACAGTTTTTAGCAGAATATGTTTTCTCTACATGCTTGGTGTAACTTGACAACTGAGAAGGCACAACCAAGTTTTATCTGTGTCTCATATGAATTTGGATTAGATTGGCAAACTCCATGGCTTGAAATATTCTACTCAATTCTCATAAATTCACATCAGCTAATCTTCTCTCAAAACAATATTTTGCAGTCTAAGAGCTTGATTCTGAGAAGCCAAAACAAGAGATACCGTCCGGTATTTTTCAGAAAGGTTAAGAAAGAAGATAATAGAACACTTGAGCTGTTATTTTTAGCAATTCAGTTACATATGCTTTTTTCTCATGTTTTGTTGATTGCACAGGAGGACCTAGAAAAATCCCTTTCAAGAGCTTCACGTCAACAGCACAGGCTGGATCCTTCTTTAAGGGAAGGGGATATTCAGGTAGAGTTTCTGACCTCCCTGTGTCTACAGAACATTCTCTTCACGGGCTATTTATCTTAGATTTACTTATCGTTTTCTCTCCCGGATAAATTGTCATAGGTTGCTGTCCTTGAGGACATAATACAAGGGATGAAGGTAAGAACCAATACATAATACAGTCTTATTAGCACTGGACATTTAGCTATAAGTTCATGCAATATCTTCATTTCATAACAAAATGACTCAAAAAACACCTTGCAGGATAATTCATCATCGACTTGGGATGATGTTGTTTTCGTCCCTCCCGGTTTTGATGTCTCGACTGACCAATCTAAGTAATAAGAAGCAACCCGTTTTGAAGTATCAGATTCCTGTTTTAGCCCGTCTATAACTGTGTCTATTGCATGGTTCGAGCCATGTAGTTATCACTGGATTAGAGAATGCGGTTTGTAGATTGATGTAGAAGTATCACGCAAGCAATCTGTTGAGTGGAACGCAATATGCAGTTGACAAATGCGACATTTTATCGAAGTTTTTCAGTAAATTGTCCTTTTTCATCGGTTGAACTCAAATATAGTATAATAGAGGAATTATTTGCGGTTTCTTGTGAAGCAACGAATGCAGCAGATTGTTATTCCACCCATCTTAAGTCTGCACATGACAGATCCTTACATTTGGTTCAGCAAAATTTAGAAATTATTTATAAATGGTTAAACTTTATTCTTATTCATTTCAATGGATCTGTAAGTACTATTTACTTATTCGCCAGTTTATACTTATCTCAAATTTAGGGTCCAGATTCACAAATTCACATAGTTTTTATTTATTTATTTAGATTTGCATATAGCTATGATTGTTACTTGAACTAATGTTCCACTTTCATAACTATGCTCATAACTGCATTAGTACTTTTGAGTTTATGTACATTCTTTTTCGGTACGAGGAATTGAAGTATTTTTTAATATTTTGATCTCACCTAAATAAGTAAACATTATCAAAGAAACGTGACATCTTTGTGCAACGAGTTTTAAATCCACGAAAGGAAAATGAAAGTTTGAATAATGTTATTTAGCTTTATTGGTGTTAGTACACCCATTCAGGTTTAAGAGGTTCACTTATATGTGAGTAGACTGATGATCTTGTAGTCATTTGGCCGACTATTGAAAGAAAAAGCTTGCATCTGCTGTGCACTGTCTACTGTGCTCTTTATGGAAGATCTTTATGGAAGAGACAACTCCACGAGATAAGGCTTCTGCTAGAGGATATGAGGCTTTCGATCGATACAAAAGATTCATCAACAAGGGGGATAGGTATAGGTAGGGACCTGACCCGACAAAAAAAGCTCTTTTTCGTTAAGATAAAGAGGTATCTGGCTCAACTCCACGAGATAAGGCTTCTGCTAGAGGATATGAGGCTTTCATTTGATACAAAAGATTCATCAACGAGGGGGGAGGACCTCATCCGACAAGAAAAACTCTTTTTTTTGTTTAGATAAAGAGGTATCTAGCGAAAGTAAACTCTACCATGTATCAGTGTATTTAAAATAGTCTTTCATTTAATGTCACATATATTGCCACATGGTTTGATTTTAAATACGAGCAGAGCTCAATAATGTTACTCTAAAAGTTACGAGGAATAATCAACTTGAAAGTCTGAATATGTTTATGGAACCTGGTATGGTTAAGAATTAAAATGTCGATAATTAAATGATTTTCTAATTTAATAAGTTGGAAAAATAATTCCAATCATTAATTTAATATGTTTTCTTACCTACTATAATGTTACACAGAATAACCACTTTTTATCTTAAAAAATGGACCACCTAAAGTGTGTAGAATTTTATATTATGTATCTTGGTAAGTTCAATAGCCACCAATAATTATGGTATCACATAATCATATTTTATAGTACCAAAGATGGAACCATATTGCTATTTTGGATCCTTAATAATTACTAATTATTATCAAGTGATGGTACTGGAGCTCACTGGTTTGGTTGATGGGCCACCCCAAACCCACCAAAAATTCCATCATGGCCCACTTTCCTACTATTGATGCCTCTATAGTCTATAAGTTGCTTTCCGGGCGGCCACCACGGTTTCATAGCTTTACGTGAAGAATCAATTTCTTGAAATTGAAACTAGAAAACAAGAAATTTCATAGCCGTCAAAGTCAATTTGTCTTTTTATTGATTTTTTTTTTCTTTTGAAATAAAATAAAAATAGATTTGAGAGAAGATTCGTCAATTGTCAAGTGATTTACCAAAATTTACACATTACCTAACGCTTTCTTGATTTTTCTAGTTGAACCAACCGTTTGATTATTAGAACACTCATAAAACCTCATGATCAAATAATAAACACAATGTGCGTATAAAATTGTATTACCGTATCACTTTATGTAAATCCCTTAGATTATACTATGCAGTTGAATTGCGTAAAAATATTTCATAGAGTACAACAAAACACATGCTCTCATTGCTTATTTAGGGTTTGTCTGGGAAAGCTTTTTTTTCTGATTTGTAGCTAAATTGTGATCGTTGCGTTTCATTATCAACGGTACTTTAAAGCAGAATGTTAGACATGGCAGCTGCAATTTTGGACATTTTAATGCAAAATGACATTTTTGCCCTTAACATTTAATTCATTTTTCATGATAGGCAGGCATTTTTGATATTTCATTTTTAGAATGTCAAAAATTGCTGCCAAAATGGGACCCATGTTCAAGTGAGTAACGGTCAATTAATTGCTAAAATTGGGGAAAAAGCTCTCCCAGACAGATGCTTAATTGTGTTAAATGAAATTAAGTTCAAATGAAATGAAGGAGAGTTATATTTAGTTGCTTGTGTTAAAAAGTAGATACGATATTACTTTCATACATAAATGAATTTCCCAACAATTTTTCTGGTGCCATTACGTTATTTTAAGAGTACACATATGACACTACCTGATTTCTCAATGTGCAAAAATATACATCAATAAAAATAAATTCACATAATAATTCCAATATTTTTACCAAGTTAGCCCTGCATTTGCTACCTTGCAAAAGATAAGAGAAATGGGCAAAGCATCGGCTTCGACAACTACACCTCATATATTTTAGGATGATTGAAAAGTTCATTGGATTACATAGGATGTTCAAATATCACGTTTTATGCAGAGTTTTCATGATGAACACGAGATATTCCTTGCCTATCCAATGGGTGCTATGGTCCCTTAGGCTGGATATATTGGGATGAGGCCTACCACAAGGAAAAAAAAAAGACATCTTGGTTTGAATTTGATATTTTTAGAAGGAAATTTAGGACTGATTACATCCAGCTCTCCGTGTAGTGTGGTTACGGAACCACAACCTTCAAAAGCGAGGTTATGAGTCTTCAACCTACTTTAATGTTAGCATTTGTGTTCGTATCTGACCGACTTTTTTAATATGTACGTTAAAATCACGTGCAACTTTTAACTGAATCGGACATAAATGTTTAGCATTTGACATTTGTGCACTCCAGCTTTAAGTCAAATGAAAGTCATATTCGATTTTATCATCCATGTTAACAGTTTTGCTCACACAAGGACTCTTATTCATATATCTAAATCTAATGAATGTCAAGAACCTCATATTTGAAGGTTGGAAATCCCTTACAACATCTTGTGCAAGGTTGGAGGAGTCCAAGCCTAATTCTTCTTTCTTAAAACACAACTTTACTTTATGAGAGCATGGCTCTTAAGGAGAAGGTCAGATTTGTTGCCCCCTTGACTATCCTATAAATACATTTTTGATAGCTTGACACGTCACCTTTTATTAACAAAAGGAAAGATATTAAGGTGTAATGTGCCATGTGTCAAAATTGTGTTGACATCTTTCCATTTGCTATGAAGAGGAGATGTGCTGATATTTCAAAAGTATTTTAATGGTGACAACCAAAGAGACAATAAATTCGGGACAACCAATTTTAATTTCATAAAGAGGACATCTAGTTTTGAATTTGATATTCTTAAACACCTCTTTTTGAGAGTATGATTCGTACACATTACTCAATGTTCGTTAAAAAAACCGAAACTTACAATGTTTCATTTTACATTGTAAATATATGTTGAAATATCTATTTCCCATACGGATCACCTCAAAACCAAAACCCAATTCGAAGCAATTCAATACCATTCAATCCACACTAAATGTTTTCATGTATTACATGAAATAGAGAACTTTTTGCCCAAAAGAATCCGCACTTTTTCTTTGTACAGAATTTGCAGACACCAAGATTGTGAAATGGACTATGATTTGTCATAAAGTACAGTTTACAGCTATAGACAGAGAAAAGGTTTGCCATGAAACTCCTTAATCCTGGTCCAGGTTATAGGGAAGACCCCATCGCTTTGTCTAAAGCAGAAATTCAAACCGGTCAACTCAATTATTATTGAAATTTGGGGAATTTCGCTTAAATTTGTACTTCAAGCACATAATTAATACTGAAATTAGAAACAGAATACATTGGTTTTATATTGGATTCTTGGTTTATGGTTCGTTTGAAGCATAAAATCGGCCACATTATGATGGCCTCGTTCTGAAGCAGCTCATCCTAGATCAAGCTAGGTCGAGTCTACACACCCTAAGAACTTTTTTCATACATTTTCTTGGTTTCTCATGTCAATTATGGACAACTCGTACTAAGACTCGACATGACACATTTTGACATATATAGTCTCTAGACACTAAGCTAGGTGGGAGAGGATTTGGTAGAGCTAGAGAAGTAAGATTATTAAAAGGAGTAGATAAGCATGAATGCATGAACATTACTTTTAGATAGCTAACAGGTGATTTTATTACAGTATCAAGTAGTACATAGTCTGGGTTGTCATCCACTGAACTGTCCGACTTGATATGCCAAAAGAGGGCCATACTATATTTCTGGGGAGAAGAACGAATCATTGCTGGAGAAAACAACAAAAACCTTAAGGATTATTGAATGTACAAACAAAAACCATCCAGTTTTTATTGCTCAAAGCTGGCACCAGCTCCCCACCCCCCTCAGCGTCCCCACTCTTTTCTCCACAAGTATTTTCCTCACTTCTTAATAACACCCTACCCTAACCCCAACCCCATCAGGGTCCCTATATATATATTACACCTCTTTCAAATTCATGACACACAAATACACAACGATATTTGAAATTTCAAATACAATGGCTTCTTTCTTTAAAGGGTTTTCAGTATTGTTCTTGGGTATTACTCTATTGATGAGTTCTTGCATGGTTGCAAATTGTGGTAATTTCTATCAAGATTTTGATCTAACTTGGGGAGGCAACAGGGCCAAGATTTTCAATCGAGGGCAGCTTCTTTCTTTGTCTTTAGACAAGACTTCTGGTTCTGGATTTCAATCCAAGAAAGAGTATCTATTTGGGAGAATTGATGTTCAACTTAAACTTGTTTCTGGCAATTCTGCTGGCACTGTCACTGCATACTACGTATGTCGTATATTTTGTTAAACCGCCTCATCTAAAAAGTTAATCTTAATAGAAAAAAAAGTTTTATGCAATTGACCAGGCTTATAATTTGTGGGTTATTGTTGCAGTTATCTTCTCAAGGGCCAACTCATGATGAAATAGACTTCGAGTTCCTTGGGAATGTCTCTGGTGAACCATATATTCTCCACACCAATGTGTTTACTCAAGGCAAGGGGGGCAGGGAGCAGCAGTTTTATCTTTGGTTCGACCCAACTAAGAATTTCCACACCTACTCGATCATTTGGAACCCGCAACATATTGTGTAAGCACAAGCCTAGTCTTCTATTGCCTATATATGCGTGCATGTGGGTGGGGGATTTTAAATTCATCCGTAGTCACTCAACTTATTATGAAATTTCATCGAGATTACTAAGTTTAGTCTATTTAAACGTTGGTCACTCCTTCCATTTCCGTTAGTTTTACTACTGGGAAAGTTATGTGGCCAATAGTTCCTAGCGTCAAGCTGGTAAGTGGTAAGGCGTGGAAGTTGAGTGACTTGATTGAAACAAAAATAGAATACTAATCCAACTGAAAAAGAAGACAACCATTCCTCCCCATCTATTTTTCATTTCAATCAAGTCATGTAGCTTCTACAGTAACTTCCAAGTCAGCATGCCACTTGGGATAACGGTCATGTTGGACTTTTCCTCCTGTTCGTTTTAATAGTGTCACTAATCAATTTTCTTATTCCAGCTTCCTGGTGGACAACACTCCCATTAGGTTGTTCAAAAATGCTGAATCAGTTGGTGTCCCATATCCTAAGAACCAACCTATGAGAATTTACTCTAGCCTGTGGAACGCGGACGACTGGGCGACCAGGGGAGGGATAGTGAAAACCGATTGGTCGAAGGCTCCCTTTACAGCATACTACAGAAATTTCAATGCTCATACATGTAGTGGATCTTGCACTAGCAGCAATACTAAGTTCCCAAATGGGGCATGGCATTACCAGGAACTCGATGCTTACAGCCGAAGAAGGCTAAGATGGGTTCAGAAGAACTTCATGATATACAATTATTGCAATGATTATAAACGCTTTGCTCAAGGTTTTCCTCCAGAGTGCAAGCAATCAAGGTTTCTTTAGAAGACGTTTAAATTGGAGTCAGTAAAATTCTGTATTTCAAGATTCGTTGCCTTTGAATTTCCACTATGTTCTTTACTCCGCAAAATAAATTAAATTATTTGTATCGTGTGAATTAGTTACCTTCAATGAGACTTGATGATACCAAAACTGTCGCTTTACTAGAGATGTCATCTAAATCAGGATCGGCTGCCCGATTTTGAGGCTGTTTGCACTTGGCGGAGCACTGCCCTTTGATTGGGCATGCTGGACCTTGTACACCCAAAATTACCTCTTACAAATTTACACACCTACGTTTAACTAGAGCATTACTAGGGGTACATCACCCCATACATAAAAGTCTACACCCCTCGCATGGGGGATGAGATCCACTCGAATAAAAAAATATTATTTCAATGGATCACACCCCTCATGTGACATGGATTTAGACCCTTATGTACAATTCTTGATGTACAAGTAGAATAATTCGTTTAACTAATACGGTTTGCAAGCTTTCTTCAACTATTTATTTGAGACAATCCCTGTAGATAAAGAAATAAAATTCTCCTAGAAAGCAATGATCCAAGCACGAAAATTATGATGCAAGAACTTTGCTACTCATTGCCTCGTACACTTCAATTTACTATACACATCAGACAAGAAACAACACTTCCAGCCAGTTCAAGGATCATATGCATTGGATGGGATTCTACAGTGTTAACCGTACACCAAACTTAAGGAATGACTAAAATTGTTCTTAAAACTATTTACCTAAAGATACTGTCATTAGTGTAGTGCACAATTGTATACCTCACTATCCATACTAAAAATTTAAATAAATAAATAACTAAGCATAATATCCCTGTTATACACCAATAAGCATCAACATGTTGAACAAATGAAGTTACAACTCAATTACTCAAAAGGCATGATTAAACTGAAATATTAAACATTAATAAGATCTTGCTCTTCTCTTTGGGCTCTATACTCTTGCCCTGTGAAAACAGGGTAAAATCTTAAACTGGATCCAAGATTTTTTACGGTTTTTGGATGACACCAAGGCCTTATTTTCACTTTGCATGAATGTTACAGCTACGAACATCAAAGGCAAGTTACTCTGCAACAGTATGTGCTCGGGCAAAGACGGCACAACACAAATAGCGTAATAGTGATCCAGAAACATTCCACGTACAAAGATTAATCTCACATAACAGCTAAGTTTACAAGTTCTCTTTATTTAACCATTTATCCAGTGTTTCTGGACTACTCGACACATCTGTCCTTGGAATAACTCTTTCCTGAATGTAATTGGCAAATGTAACACTTGACGGCCGCAATTCCTATAGGTAATACAATGAATTTGAGAATCTCTGATATGCATATAGAAATTTTATGCTTATGAACAATAATAGAGAAAATTGGAGACTGGTCTTTAGTTTTTAAGAGCAGTTCTAAATACAACTGAAGAGAAAATGCCACTTACTGGGATTCTGCAATGGATATTGAGGTCATAGTTCAATTGGCTGAGGCTTTCTTTTGCTCGATTTTCTGTTTCCAGAGCTTTATTGCATACTTGTTTAACCTGAGCCTGCGTGGAAACAAAATCAAACTGATTTATTGAACTCTTTAAACAATAAGAGATGGTGGTAAAATAAACAAACATAAAATGAATACAAAGCAACGACGTACAAAAATATTTTTCCTTTCCAATAGATCATTGTTTTCCATTGATTTTCATGAAAATTTTGGAACTTTAGGGTCGGTTCTCTTTACCGTTTTCTGTTTTTGATTTTTCAAGATAGTAAAAACGCGTTCTCTTTCCTATTATCGAAAACGCGTTTTTGAAAATAAGTTCAAAATTTACAAAGAAAACCCTAAACAACAAATTTTGTCGTTTTGAGTGTTTTCAGTTATAATCAAGTCAAAATTTTCAAAACGTGTTTTGAATGTTTTCAATCACAGCCAACCACCACTGCACCACAGTCTGAAAATCACCGCCTTAATGGTCAGCTCCAGAATTCAAGGGAAAAAAAAAAAACTCTGCTTCGCGAAGACAGAAGGAACAAAGAATTCTATTCCCCTAAGAATCTCTCAGCTCTCAATTTTAGGCAACCAATGGCGGAAGGGTTCGAGGTGACGGTGGAGGACGGCCTGCGACGTCGAAGAGGATATACGTTGGGAAGGACAGGGCGGTTGCGCCATCGAAACCGGCGATGGTGATGGAGAGTGAGAGGGAGGATGTGCATTTTTACCTCCCGGCTGCTCCCATGATTTACGCAATCATCGGTAACCCGGTTATTGTCGATAATCCCAACATACCGAGCTATCAGCCTCATATTCATGATAGGTGCAATCTATCAGCCTCATATTCATGATAGGTGCAATCCCCCGATGTTGATTCCGTGGATTTCTCTCGAGGTTGAATGCTATTTGGACACAACATTTGATACTGTTACCGGCTTTGTTGAGAGAGAGAGGAGAGAGGTTTTCCATTTTTTTTATTTTTTTTGAAAACAATTTTTCGAAATGCCAAAAAGAACATATTTTCAAGAATCTTAAAATGGATACTCAAAACACAAAATCCAAAATGAATTCAAAATTCAAATCACAAAACTCAAATACAAAAAGAACCGCCCCTAAATTTCCCTTAAGGCAAAAAAGCAAAAAAAAAGAAGAAAAATGGGAAAAAAAGAAAAGAAAAAGGAATGGCAGTACCAATTATTTGATTAGTTAAGCTTAGGCAAAGGAGTCCACAATGCCTATTTAAGGTCCAACTCCCAGATATGGAGTGTTAATAAGGGTCTGTTCTCTTTGCCATTTTCAATCCGTTTTCTATTTTCGATTTTTCAAAACAGTGAAAACGTGTTCTCATTTCTATTTTTGAAAACGCGTTTTTGAAAACAGGGTGAAAATTTACAAAGAAAACACAAAACGACAAAATTGTCGTTTTGGGCGTTTTCAGTTATAACTTGGCCAAAATTTCCAAAAAATGTTTTTGTTGTTTTCAACCACCGACCACCACTGCACCACCGCCACCTAAATCACCACAGCATCCCCCTGTGTGGTTGAAAATGAGGAGAAAAATGAGAATGAAAAAATAATGTGGCCCAAACAGGGGTTCAAGCCAAAATTTTCAAAACGCGTTTTGAGTGTTTTCAAAATAATTTTTCAAAATGCCAAAAAGAACATATTTTCAACAATCTCAAAATGGACATTCAAAACACAAAACCCAAAATGAATTCAAAACACAAAACTGAAACACAAAGAGAACAACCACTTAGTGTCCTGTCCACGTGGATGTCTCAAATGGTAAGTAAATAAATGTTGCAATTTAGATAATAATGAAAGTACAAGGAAACAGAACTCGATAACAAGAAGAATCAGGTGGTGTTTCAAGTAGGAAACTGTGAAGAGTAATAGAAGAAAACTCTAATCAGAGTTAATATAAATTCTTGCAGCAATACTTGACAAATCCTACATAAATTTCAAATGAAATAAAAAAACCTTGGAGCACAAGCAATAAACATTGAAGAAAATAAGTTTAGAGTGCCTTGATATCATACCATGTAATTGAGCTTGCTTACAAGAATACAAGTTTAGCTTCAATATTAGAACTGACGTGTAAGATCTTTCAATAGTTCACTTCTAAAGATTCTCACTTGAGCAATGGTTACTTTAAAAAAAAAATCTGCTTTATGAGTTAAGAACAGAATTCAATCGCTAGACAGGAAACATCCTCTTGATTCAAAACCTATAGAATTTGACAAGCAGAATTTCAAAATCTAGTAGAAATTAAACAATTCAAACCAGATATAGAGTAGGCTTTAATGCAACTCTTTCAGGTTTTAGTTTTAGTAGAATTTTGAATAATTTGTCCTCAAAAATCTATGAAGAGGTATCGATTCGCTGCATGGAAGCATAGCAACAAAAAGCGAACAACTCCTTTTCATGAAAAGATAGAGAAAGCAATCTCTGTTGAACCTCAAAATATGTGCAACCCAATGTATTGAAACAAGTATCCAATCAAGCATAGAATCAATTCTCCACAGGGCAAATCCTAATTACATCCCAGCAATATTTATTTCAGGACAATGATGCAAAGTAAAACCATTTTCACCAATCAGATGCAATTAAGGATCAAAGGGAAAAACATCCGAAAGACATAATTGCACAAGGAGTGACAATCTTTACATTCAACTTGTGCCTTGTGTATACTAGAGCATAATGTAACTGAACCATTTGGGAGCATAAACATTAATCTTGAAGAGGCTAGTGGCAGTAAAAATCTGCAAAATTTTATCACCAAAACATTCAGAAGCCAGATTATCTAAGAATCCCAGGTTCTCCAAATGGTACAATTATCAGCTGCTAATTCTTAAATTTGTCACTGCCAGAAAGAAACTAAGGGTGCGTTTGATTGCAATGGTGGAAAATGGGTGGAAAGAAAATGTTTTACAGGGAAAAGATTTGCCTAGAAAATTTTTTTAGGGAAAATGATTTCAAGTGTGTTTGATTGGTATAATTTTCCACCCGAAAAATTTTTAAATTTTCTATTCGTTTGACTTTATTTTACATGGAAATTGTCCATTAAAGTGAATTTTTTTTTTACCATTGGTTATGACATTTGTTTCCATTGCAAAAAAAAAATTCCAGCCAGCCGGGAAAATATTTTCCCACCAAAAAGGCGGGAAAACATTTTCATCAAAAACCGGGAAAATGCACACGTGTGAGGAAAATCCGGAAAATATTTTCCGTGGAAAATTTCGCCTATCAAACAGCCAAAAAAAGTGGAAAGTGGAAAATATTTTCCTACTTCCCCGGAAAACACGGCCTATCAAACACGGCCTAACTTCAAACTTTGCTAAAATACAACATAGCAACTTGCAACCATAAAAAATTTATAAATAAATGAAATGGCATCATGCTGCAGTTGAACAGTGCACAAACATAAATAATTCATGAATTATCTGTGTCAAAAGCAAAAATTTCACGATTCTAAAAATGTGGTTTATAGAGGAAGACTGAAATCAGTTATAACTGTAGCATGACCAAATAGTAAGAGCACGAAAAGCCATAATAAGTTTTATCATTATTTCAACTGTAATTTACCTGATTAAGTTGGATGGTTGTGAGATCATTCTCATTAACAGCAGATTTTTCCAATATATGACGAACATTTGCTAATTCCTTCATCAAGTTCCAAGCAACTTCTTCTGCGCCAAGCATCTGGTTTCTTGAAAACTCAAATGCCCTTTCAGCGTGAAGACGAAATGAAGCACAGTTCAGACAATTACATGGCCCTCTGCACCCTTTCGGATTTTTCTTGAGTATTCCCTTGAAAGGAACATCAGTATGAGCAACCAAAGTGCCAGAAACTTCAATTTGAGATTGGCTTTGGTCGGAAGTAACTTTTTCAACTAGCTCTTCATTGGATTTATAAGCTTCCACATTGACAGCCATGCATTTCGTTTTTGTATCTGTCAAAATGTCAAGATCAAATATAGAGCATGATTCAACTGCCGAACAATTGGATTTCCCATTGCAATCCATGGTATCGTTATGGGAAATTTCTGATTCAAACTTCTTGGGACTATTTTGAACCAACAATCTTTCTTCCTTTGGTAAATCAAGTGGCATGACCAAATCAGTGGTGTCACCAGAAACTATTGAACTTGGCCCCACTTTAGATGAATTATTGGAGTACAATGGTGGAGTTGATGGACTCAGATTATTATCAGTATCACCGGATGAAACGTTGTCTTTGGGGACTAGAGCAAGCAGTAAGTTTTGCTCCTCATCTTCAATATGAAGTTGCTCAGAGAAACTTTCCATTCTGATTTTCTTCACAGGATTTCCTTCATGAGACGTAGCATATGATAGTGGGTGTATATCTGGAGAATCTATCTGAGGCTTTGGGTGTTGGATTACTTTCGAATCACCTATAAAGAAATATTTCTACATAAATTGATTTGCAAGCAATTCACCCATAATTGGCTATTCACAATGAACAAGAGGACTTACACGAGTTCTGTTTTGCAACATCAATCAGATATGGAAGCAGTTTTCTATAACTAACTGAGCTAGGAGCTTTGAAGACCCTCATGCGTGAACAAGGAGAAAGAAACTGGGCAGAATGCAAGAAACTTTATGTAAACAAAAAACAGTTCTGTCTCAACAGTCATTCTCCAAGCAAAAAAGAGACAGATAAATTGATAGTCAAATAAAAGAATATCAACCACATTTATGAATTGAAAGTTTACCGTTTCAGACTTCCAATTGGTGCCACTTTTCTGGCATGATTCATTGCCGATACTCATGCACCCAACTGATGTGTCGTTTATATTAGGTTTCCCAGTAAGCAAAGTGCTGACTTCCATATTTCTCCCACTATCTCTTGCCGCTGTTGCACTGAGAACAGAATCAGGTTCCATTGGAATGCGCTCTTCTTCCACAGAATCTTCAACTCCACTAACAACATTCTCATGACTTCTGTGCTCCAACTGATGTTGTACACTAATCAAATTCTGCAGAACGCAGGGCTGTTCTTCATCAAACTTTTGAATCTCTTCATCCTCGAAACTATCTGTAGGATTAGTCTGTGCTCCAACACACTCAAGTTTAGCAGCACAATCATTTTCCTTAAGCGAAGGCATTTTAGGACTCAAACCACTTAACTCCTGCAATTTATTTGGAACTTCTACATCGACTATTTCAATTTCTGAAGCACCTACAAAAAATTTAAAAAACGTTTATGTATAGAAACTATTAGTTCCCAAGCACGAACCATACTATCAGATAAATTATCTCAACACTCCTTCTCATACGTAAAAATAAATACAAGTGAAGAAGCTTACTGGATTCTTCTTTCACAATGTCCATCAAATAAGGTAGCAATCTTCCATAGTTAAAAGAGCTCGGGGTCTTGAAAACCTTCCTTTTGGCACACGAATTCAGAACCTATAAGAGTTCAACAAAAGATTTCCATTTAGGACATTTAGGGGGAGAAATCGGGTAGCACACTAAAAATTGCATCTTGATCATCAAATAAAATCCTCTCGTTTTCAAGTATTGCCTCAATATAATTGAAATGATAATAAAATACAAAATTAAATATTAAAGCATAGCAGCTAATCACCCTGTCATCAGAGCTAGGGGACAAACATTCGAGTAAAATGTACAATGTTAGCTTGATGCAAATCAAACTTCAGAGATTAACATCTTATTCTATGATTTTATACTGTTTAAACCGATAAAAGCTATTACATTACCGTTTTACTTCTGGAAATAGACCTGTTCGTTGAAATCGCCTTATCCTTCATCAAATTCAAACCATTTTTGCTATTATTTTCCTTCGCATCTGCATCCGATGGTATTGTCTCAACAGATTGTTTACGCTTCTCCACCTCTTTATCACCCACATCCAGATCCATACACCGATCTGAATCCGTATCCAGACCCACAGTCTGCAATAACTTTGAGTTCTCATTTATTTTCCCCTCCTCTGCCTCAAGAATCGGACTAACAGCAGGAGAGAAAACCCTGCGGGCCCGGAGATCTTTAATTGACGAGATCCGACAATTAATCTTATCATTCAATTCCAGATAAGCTTCTACTGGTTCAATCCCGGTCTCCTTCAGGGGTCCGGCTTGAACTGAGTTAGGTTTCCCCGGAAATGGGTTTGAGCTGATTGAACAAGAGTGGGAGATCGATTTTCGAGTAGCATCGGGACGGGTCCAGCCGGAGCGATTGCGGTGGACATACACCTGAGACTTGCTACGCGTGAAGATTCCGATTAAAGGATTGGGTAGTGATGGAGATTGCTTCTTTCGCTTTCTGGAATAGAGATTTACAGATGATGATTCCATAGCTAGTTTTCTTTTTTTCCTTTTTCGTTGGAGAATTTTGTTTGTGCTGAGATATGGAGTTAGGGTTTCGATACAGTAGTGTGTTAAGAGAGTGAGGGGGAGGGAAATGAAGAATGGGGGATTTTGGCGGGAATGCATGACGTCATGGCGGGAAATTCGCGCGTAGGGTTTTCTGGAGTTCTTTATTTTTTGGTTTCGCTAATTAGAATGGGATTTTGTGGTGATTATTTTCATCATCGCTGTTATTAAGCAATAGTTTATGTGATAATCAAATGTCGTTACATGAAAAATTCATGATAGGGCTTGTTTGGAAATGATTTTAATCCAATTAAAATTAAAATATAGTCGTTATTGGGTCCCACCCGTCTAATAAAAGTCAACAATAACGACTAGTTTTTCAATTTTAATTCGATTTTAATCCTTTCCAAACAAGCTCTAAATATAAAGTCTCGTCGCTCATTTAATTAAACATCTAAAGTGTGATTATCTAGTACTAAATATTATTATTCTTTTTTCTTTAATGTTCCAATTGTACTTTTGTCTCCGTTTGATTCTCATTATTGTAGAATAAGAATAAAAAATATAGTCGTTATTGAGCCCGACATAAGAGATAAATTCAAAATAGATGGCTTGATGTGATGGATAACGGTCATATTTTTCATTTTTATGGATGAAAAATGAGAAACAAACTGGGGCTAAGCATTTATTTGATTCTCATTTTTTTTTTCAAAATACATTTTTCTACCTTCTTTTCAATCACATATTTTTCAATAAAATAATATTACACGCAACCCAAAAAACGTTTCCTTCATTTTTAGCCGTACATTACTTATCAATCTATTATTCTAAATACATTCTATACTAAAAATGGGGTTCAAACAGATTCTAAAATTGTTAATACCTACAAATGTGTAGTTGCCGACAGTGCTTCTCCGATACCCCGATAAATTGAAAATATGGGCAGGAAACTCTCTTCGATTCTCCCTTCAATGTGAGAATCAATATATTTTAAAGAGACAAAAAAAAAAAAAATGCAAATATAGAAACCAATAAACGTAAAGAAAGCTAAAAGCCTAAATAATGAATTTGAGGAGAAAAATATATTTATCTTTCAAATCATATATATAGAAGTTTACTCTGATGACTTTATTCAAAGATTTTTGTCCATGTTTCCTTACTTTAAAACGCTAGATTTGAGATGAAGTGTATCCTTGTCCATTTATAAAAATATATAGCGAATTTAAGAAGCCGCTATGATCCTTGGCAGTGCCAATTTTGGATAGAGTAGTGTTATTCATGATCGGTGATTGTAGTGGTCATTATACATAGCATTTTAAATGGCATAGCACTATTAAAAGTAATTCATTTTTTAAATTATTGAAATTATGTCAGGTAAAATGTAACGTAGAAACTACTACACTCCCTGATTATAAATTGTATTACTGTTTTGGATATTATCCATGGTGACACATATGTGGCCCTTTGAATTAAAGGATTAACATGATAAAACTAATGGTGGAACCAATCAACATAAATTTAACAAGGATTTAATGTTTATTGTAGGAAAATAAAAACCAAAGTTGGCAGGTGTTTTATCGTGTCAAGACTAATGATATTTACAGCAACTTTTGTCTTCTTCGAATTATACAAAGAAACTTGTGTAATCACAAACGTCATGCAGTCTGCTATAAACTCCACTCCCAGCCCAAACCAAAGACACTCCAAGCCATACACGACACACACAGAGATTTAGATAACCAACATGGTGAATAGCCATATCCTTCTTGTGAGTTTTCCAGGACAGGGCCATATAAACCCATCACTCCAATTTGCAAAGCGCCTTCTGCAGATGGGAGTCAAGGTCACCTTATGCACTAGTCAATCTGCAATCCGTCGCATGTCCAAAACTGCCTCAATAATACCATGCCTGACTTTGGCTCCCTTTTCTGATGGTTACGACAATGGCTGGACAACTGCGGACGATGTCCAAGAATTCTTTATATCTTTCAGAACTTGCGGTACTGAAGCTGTTACAAATCTTATCCTGGCTAAAGAAAACGAAGGCCACCCGTTTACACATGTAGTATATGCTACTCTTATCACATGGGCAGGTGAAGTGGCAAGTCGATTTCAAATCCCATCCACGCTTCTTTGGAATCAACCGGCTTCTGTTTTTTATGTTTATTACTTGTATTTCAATAAGATTGTGGATTTTACAGGAGAAAACAATGAAGTTATTGAACTTCCAGGACTGCCATTAGTGTTTAGTTCTTGTGATTTGCCATCCTTTATGCAGTCTTCAAGCCCTGTTGTGTACAAGTTTTCTCTCCCTCTTTTAATAGAGCATTTGGAGATTCTTGATAGAGCTAGGCACAAGCAGAAAGTACTTGTGAACTCATTTGATGCATTGGAATTCGAAACCTTAAGGGCTATAAAGAAATATGATTTTATGGGCATTGGACCTTTGATTCCTTCTGCATTTTTGGATGGCAAGGATCCTTTGGACACCTCATTTGGAGGTGATCTCATACAGAAGACAGTAGATTACATTGATTGGTTGAATTTGAAAGACGAACTATCTGTTATTTATGTATCTTTTGGAAGCTATTCCAATTTATCAGAACAACAAATGGAAGAGGTTGCTAATGGGCTGATCAAAAGCCAGAAACCATTCTTGTGGGTGACTAGAGACGGAAAAAATGGTGCAAAACAAGAAGAAAGCAACGTGCGAAGTTGGGTGAAAGAAGTGGAAAAACAAGGTATGATTGTTCCGTGGTGTTCCCAATTGGAGGTTTTATCACACACTTCTGTGGGCTGTTTTTTGACTCATTCGGGGTGGAATTCTTGCATTGAAAGTTTGTCTTTTTGACTCATTCCGGGTGGAATTCTTGCATTGAAAGTTTGGCTTCTGGGGTGCCCGTAGTTGCATTTCCTCAATGGGCTGATCAACCTATGAATTCAAAACTTGTGCAGGATTATTGGAAAACTGGGCTGAAAGTGGCAGCTGCCACCGATGGAGGAATTGTAATGGCAGATGAGATCGCAAGGTGCTTAGAAATTGTTATGGGAGGTGGAGAGAGAGGACGAGACATGAGAAAGCAAGCTCAAAAATGGAAAAATCTGGCTAAGGAAGCAGTTAAAGAAGGTGGTTCTTCCGATGTGAATCTTAAGGTTTTCGTGGATCAGATTGTTGGAGCAAACTAATCATTATCCAGTTAATTTAAAGTTGTCCTCTCCTTGATTCAGAGGCATATGCATGATCAGCCAGCTTTTAAGATAAGAATTGTTATGAGTAATTAAGAAGAGTCAATTATAAAAGTGTTTTTGGATTAGTATTTCTTTTAATTTTTAGAGATACATTATGCATACGAAAACAAAGAAGACATGAAACTGAAAGGACACATATAGAGTCACTCCAAACTCCTAATTCATCGAGTTGATCAATTTGAACATCTAACTTAATCTAACTTGAAATGGCATACTTCTAGTAAGGATTAGATCACTAATCGACGCGTTTTGACATTTTTTGGATCACAACATTGAAGAGACACCAAGCAAAATCTAACTCCTAACAAGACAAATTTTATGGCATAGTAGTTAGCGCACACACTCGGAATCCTTTTCTACTAAAAACATGGGACAACAAATCCAAAACAAACCACGTCCTACAATCCTTGACTTTCCCTTTGAATATTATTTCTTCTGTCATTCTCTTGATACATCACACTAAAGTTACAAAATCTCACCTTTTTTTTAATTCAAACTCTCGCAAATATCATTGAGCTGTTCTTAATTACAACTCTGAAATTTTGTAGTTCAACAGTTCTTCACTTCTTTCACTACATATACACCTTCCATTCTTACAGATTCTTCACACACAATCTGATAGTTTCTCCATTTTCTTCAATAAAAACATGTACCTGAAGAGGGAAGTTCTTGTATTCTCTTTGTTCTGTATCTTTGCTTTCTCAAGTAAGTTGCCTTACGGGGTATGCTAAATTTTGACATTTGAATATTGTCACAGCTTTCTATGATTTTATAATTAATATAGAATCTCTCATTTCATAGTTATTTGTAGCCCTTAAAAAGGGCATTTGTAATTTTTCGACACTACTATTATACAGTCTCATATTGATTCAGTATTTCTATTTACAGATGCACTGGTTTTAAGCAACATCGGCATAAACTATGGTCGACTGGGAAATAATTTGCCATCTCCTTATGAAACAATCGAATTCCTGAAATCCATGAATGCTGGTCGAGTGAAGATCTATGATGCCAGCCCTGAAGTTCTAAAACTTCTATCAGGCACAAGGCTTCGTGTCTCAATAATGGTGACAAATGACCAAATTTCCGATATTGCTTCAAACCTAACAATAGCTGATCAATGGGTGCTTGATAATGTTCTTGCATATTATCCCAACACCAAAATCCGATCCATTCTTGTTGGGAATGAAGTTCTTAGTTATGATAATCAGAAAATGTGGGCTGATCTTGTACCAGCTATGCAGAAAATCAAGAAATCCTTAGTTTCACATAACATTCATAACATCAAAGTTGGGACGCCCTTGGCTATAGATGTAGTGGAATCAATATTCCCTCCTTCAAGTGGGAAATTTAAGGACGAAATTTCGGACAAGGTTATGATCCCATTGCTGAAATTCTTGAATGGGACAAAATCATATTTTTTTCTTGATGTGTATCCTTATTTTTCGTGGTCTGAGAATCCAACAAACATCAGCCTGGATTTTGCATTGTTTAAGGATGCAAATCAGATGTACAACGATACAGGAAGTGGATTGGTTTACACGAATTTCCTTGATCAGATGCTTGATTCTGTTGTTTTCGCTATGCGAAAACTTGGGTTTGAAAACATCAGGATTGGGATATCAGAAACGGGTTGGCCTAATGGAGGTGACATGGATCAAACTGGCGCAAATATATACAATGCTGCAACATATAACAGAAATTTAGTCCGAAAAATGACTGCTTCTCCAGCAATTGGGACACCAGCTCGACCTGGCGTTGTGATCCCAACCTTCTTGTTCTCCTTATATGATGAGAACCAGAAATTCGGGCCGGGAACAGAAAGGCACTGGGGATTGTTAAATCCAAATGGGACTCCAATTTATGAGCTGGACTTGACTGGAGTCCGGCCAGAGAATGATTATCCCCAGCTGCAGGAGCCGTTGAATAACGAACCATTTAAAGGGAAGTTGTGGTGTGTGGTGGCGACTCAAGTCGATACAGTGGAGTTGGGGCCGGCATTGGATTTTGCGTGCAGGCTGGGGAATGGAACTTGTGATGAACTTGCCCCGCTGAGGAGTTGCTATCAACCGGTATCAGAGGTTGCACATGCAAGCTATGCATTCAGCTCATATTGGGCTAAGTTTCGGGACAGTGGTGCTTCCTGCTACTTCAATGGCCTTGCTGTTCAAACCACCTCCGACCCAAGTAAGTTTCTGCTCAATCACCACCTCGTCTAAAAATTAAAGCCAATCTTTAACAAGTTTTTTACCTACCCAGATTTTATAAATGGATGACGGCTCGAATACCATGTTTATTGTTTTGTTGAGCAGGTCATGGATCTTGTGAATTCCCAAGCGTGACACTCTGAAGATAATCTCAATGAATAGAGCTGAAGACAATTGATAAATTTTTATATATTTTCAGTTTTTCTATGTCATGTTATGAATTATCTTCTGATAATTCTGGCGATGCACTAGAATGTATTTTGTTTTTCAATTCAATTATTCAATATATATAGTTTAACTTGATCTGGATTTAACCAAAGGTGCTTCATCAGAAAGTAGATATATATAAAACACAATCATCTCACTAAGGTAATAACATGAAAATCTAAATTAAAAGGCCCCATTATCGCAGTAATGCAAGAAAAACTGATAGTTATCAAGCTATTTTCAGTTAAAAATCAGTTCAACTAGTGAATTTTGCTGCCCTTATTACATATAACAGTACTTTGTGACTCACGTGTACTGGAGGCAGCATCGATTCAACTACCATTCTTGAGTACTTATATCCATATGTCAGATGTGCAATCGCCACCTGGATATCTCATTTCATGCGCCAAGGATGGACCATCTGGTTCAGCTCCAAAATCGACAAAAAACTTGTCGTTTATTGCAAGACCACCTTTCTCATTGTTAACATCGATCTGTAAGATATGACTGCCTTTCTGCACAAGCTCGGGATAAAATTGACGGTCCCATGTACTGAAGAGAGAATTCGTAACATAGAGTCGCTTCCCATCTAAGCTCAGTTGTATCATCTGAGGTCCTCCTCTCAATTGATTTCCCTAAAAGAAAAATGGACAAATTATAGGTTTTTTATGTATGGTTGATGGTAGGTCAAGACTATTCTAATACAAGAATATTTCGGGTTATCAAAATCCAAAAAATGATATAGTGCTTGCCATACTAAAAAAAGATGAAGGCAATAGGTTACACTTTATGAAGGTGGGAAATGATCTTGCCTAAGGCATTTCACTTGACCATAGTAAACAATACAATAAACAAGATTTTAGATTTTTCTTCTTTACTACTGTCAAGTGCTGTCTAATAACACCGAATATTTTTGACAACAGAAATGACAATGGTGATTCCATACAAGGTTTTGATACCGAAAGCAGCATGAAAAAACCCTCAACATTTTGTTTGAGAAGGAATATAGAAAATACCTGAACATCTGGGACATCAACCTGGTATGTTGAACCATCATCTGCCTCAACAACCACATTGCTTCCTTTTCGGACTAATCCTCCAACCCATACTTGGCCAGTCAGCCGAGGATTTGCAGGATCTTTAATATTATATTGTCTAATATCACCATGAAGCCAGTTGGCCAAGTAGAGAAAATGATCATCAAGAGATATCAGAAAATCTGTTATAAGACCAGGCATCTCGGGAAGAATCCAATTCTGCACCTTGAGTGGCTTCACTGATGTTGATAGCTGCAGTGAAACCAGATTGATCATTTATGTTGTTCATTCGGTGATCGGGTTAAACATATAGGACACGGAACTTTTAGTGAAATTTCACGTTGGTCACTAAACTATCAACTTAAAAATTTTACAAGTTGTGCACTCGGTCTATATCTGTTAGTTTGACTAACAGAAGGGTGACTTGACAGTCTAATTATTTGCCGATAAGGCTGCCAAGTCTGCTTTTCCACTAGTCAAACTAACAGGCATGAACCCGATGACCATATCGTAACAATGTTAAGTTCACTGAACCTGACTGGAAAAAAAATACAAGTTTCCGTGACACAGTTGGAACAAAATAAAGGGTGGTGGCCTCTAGTGTTTTTTACTCGTAGGTGATATAAACATTGAGGCAGTTCTTCAGTATACCTCGTGGCTCCATGACCCATCAGGGTTCTTGAAAAACCTTATCATGTTGCTTGTTAAGGCACATCCCACAAATCCTGTATCCCTGGATGGATCGTGCAGAAATCTTATCTGCAAATTATTTAGATGCACATTAACAGAACAATTTTTCACCAAAAGGAATTATACATACAGTTGCATGAACACATCATGAACAGAAGAAAAAAATTTAAAACAAATGTATTTAATAGTAAAAGCAAATAATAAGTTCACTTGATCACCTCCAATGGTAAGAGCCCAGTATTTCCAAGATCCAAAGTCTGTTTCAGTTCACCATCGGGCCAGCTGTACACGTGCAAATGTCTCCCATAAAGCCCATCAGAAACATGCTGAAGGTTGAAACCTTTGGTGAAAGCAGCAGGTGCCCCCCATGAAGTGCTGATCATGGTCTTGTGTCGAGGTTGATACCAGAAATCATAGCCAAAAAGGGGACTGTGTCCAGGTTTCTCCCACCTATACAAACAACTTGAGTATGATATGTTCAAGAAATTTTGATTTGTTACATCCTTATATTAGCATTATAAGTCTTTCTTGCAATCTGTACTCTTGATTCTAAGCAAGGTTGGCACTAATCTCCAAGAGTAAATACAATACCAGATTGTGTGAGACAAGCTCAGGTAAAGAACAAAATTTCAGTTGGAAGTAACATTAATTTACACAAAATATAGGCTTGGGGATCATTATTAATGTTTCTGAGCAGTAAAAACTGAGTATGCTAGCGGATGCATAATCCATACTCTTCTTGTTATGCTTGCTGTATTTCAATTCTCTTCCTTACCAATTAAAAAAAAACGACATTACATAATAATTTAGTCAATTTTAAAGATCAAAACTGGATGTTAGTGGTGTTCTTTTCACAGGAGTAGACGTTACCTTCCTTTCACATTAAAATCAGAGTCCAGCAGAAGAAATCCATTTCCTTCAGCATTTCCATCTTTATCTCCAAGGCATGATACCATGATATCACCAGAAGCAAGGCAATGAGCCGTGTGCGGGTATGCTAATCCAGTCTTTGCGATTATATCTTTTGGATCGACAACTTTATGCAAAGTCGGAGCCTTCAGATCCTTTTGAGTATCAATAGCATATATGCGACCAGACCTAAGAGAAAAAGGCATTATAGTCAGAATCCAGAAAAAAACAAAAAAAGGCAGTACAGTCAGACTCCAGAAATTATCTTATTACTTATCCTTTTGTCTGAAACCTTAAAGGAATCCTCATTTTTAAGTCACGAAGTTATAGATTTCTACAGCTATTAAAGCGGGAAGCATTCGTGGACACCACACGATGATATAAAATCAACACACAAAGTAATGTGCAATTGTGGCCATAGTATAATAAACTTTTCGGTAAAATAGTTGTTAATAATATCATTAAATAGAAAAATATCAAATGGAAACTTTAATAACATTACTTCTTAATACAAAATTATCTAAACTGGAATACTGCGGTTGACTATGACGAAGTAGAATACTTCTTACTACGTCGTTATCTTGGGTGCAATTTGCACACTACATCTATACCTAGAATGTAACTGTAAGAAACATCATTGATACAAAATTTTTATTTTACAAATTATTAAAGGAATGAATTGACAAAACCTTGGCTAAGCTTAAATTTAAGTGAGTAAGTAAACTTTTATATTGACTTAAGTAAGAAAAAATATAACTTATCCAAATATGTTTGGAAACAAAAAGAAGTCATTTCTATTTACATTTAAACTTAGCGGATGAGCTCTTAGTCTTCAGAACATATACAAGAAATAATTTCAAAGACGGCTTAAAGATTTGATCTCTTACACAAGTGAAGGAAGGACAAGGAATCGACGGGAAGCTGATGGATCGCTATGGCAAGAGCTGCAGGAATTCCATCCCGAATGATGTAGTTCATCGCCAATGTGAGGCATAGGTAGCCTGTGAATGACTTGAGAGTAAGTCGGTGAATTTGGATCCACATCTACTGTAGCAAGATAATCTGGCTTCTCCGTTCCAGTTCCTAATAACATAAAAGTCACATAAGTTTTAGAAAATAAAATAGGGAAGCGATCTGTGAAACTAGTAGTATTAATGATAGCTTTTAACAATTATCCATATTTTTTACAAAAATATTACTTTTTGACAAAAACATATATCCAAAAATATTCATTCCATTACAAATTTCAATTTACAAGTTTTTTTCCCAGTTTCTCCGTGTTCATAAAAATTGCTCAAGAAGCCAAAATACATTACAAGATGGGCAAGAAAGTTGACAGATGTGCAGCAAACGATAGCCATAGCCCATATTGGAATACTTTTGCATTCTTTTTGTGGATTTTTGGAAGATTTTCTTTCTGAGAAATTGTGCAAATTATCGATCAAGAATGCATTATAAAATAAACACAAATAGCTAAAGCAAACACCCAATAAAATTACCTGAATAAACACAGGTGACATAAATAAGAGATTCCCTTGGGCCAGCCATGGCTTCAAGCGGAGTAGCATATCCCGGCCCCTTTTTGCAGCAGCCATCGTTCACCGCCGCGTGTTGCACCGCCACCACATCCGTAGCCATGTTTCCTGCTCTTTTTTCTTCCTTCACGAACAATTTTGAGCACAACCCAGATAGAATAACTGTTCAGATTAATCGCCCTTTTGTGAATGTCCTGTGTGTTTCTACGGATGCAATTCGGAAGCTAAACGCCACTCAAGGCTTACAAAAGTCACGTTCACTACGGTCCGAAATGAGCGGTCATGTCATGTGACAGGTGAGTTTATTAATAATGCGTTGTCGTCTGTGTATGGATGTAGTTTTATGATTTTATCCTTGTACCTGGGCGTAGAAATACGCTATATACAGAACCGTCTTTGTGAGTTGAATATGTTGAAATAAATGAATTTATTATTTTTCCTACTTTTTAATTATCGCTTTTTGGAATCCATTCAAAATGTATTTTGGAGAAAATTGTATTTTGAAAAATGTGTGGTTAAAAAATAAAAAAAATAAATTTACTTGTAAATATTATTTTATTAAAGAATGTGCCATTAAAAATTAAGAGAGTTATATCGAAGTCCAAACAAGGGTTAGTCGGGCCATTTCTTAAAATTAGTTTTTTTAAAAATTTATTTTTAATCACACATTTCTGAGATACATAATTTTATCAAAATATTTTTATCACATTTCGTCATTTTTATCAAAATTTATTAAAATTTATTTTTTTCAAAACCAAACCGGTGCTTAATTTAATGCGCCATCTAAATTTCAAATAGAGCTATTCATAATTAGCGTTGTTTAGATAGGTAGAGTAATGTTATTTTTCACACATTGTAACTTGTGATTGTTAGAGCGTCTCCAATGGTGTTGTAAACTTGGGCATAAGTTGATATCTTCAAAATTATTTTTGCATCCTTATTTACATTTCAATTAATTGAAATACAAATTTTACTCTACTGGAAAAAAATTTAATTCACTGTTTGCCTCTTGTAAATGTAAAAAATCTTGCAGGAAAATGTAATTTGCAGTCTTTTTTGCATCTTTCCGTTGGAAATGTTATTTTACATTACGATTTGGAAATGCTTATGTCTCGTAGTGGGCTCATTGTCATGTTGTTCAATGCATTTTAATCAATATTTTAAAAACCTATCCCCTCCATCGATCCAGAAAAGAGAAAGGGTTAAAAGCTGGATCGGGTCGAACCAAGATCGAACTGGTGATTTAAAAAAAAAAAAATTACACTTACGAAAATTTTAAAAAATATACATTTAAATAAGTTGAACCGATTAAACATGGAATGAGTCACGGATTTTTCAAAAATCGACCAATTTAATGGATTTTAGGGCAAATTCTTAATTAAAGGTTTTATAAGCTTGACCGAACCAATTTTGGTCCCGATTTCGAATTTTTCCGGTTGAATCGACTGGACCGATCCGATTTTAAAAACAGTAATTTTAATGTAGTGAGTTATTTAATTAACAATGGATCCAAATAGTTCTGAATAAAGCGTGATAACGATGTAATTAAAAATAAATATATTTATCTCCTATTAAACTTTTAAAAACAATTTTATATATTCTTGATAAGGTGAGACTGAAATGTTATGATTCCGAGATTGATTAAAATGTTATTTTTATATATTTAAATAGGATAGTGTGGGCTTGTGAGCGATTGGATCAACGTCCGATATAACCTAAGAGATGGAGATGACACCTCAAATCTTATCCAAATGTAGAGTGGAAGATCAAAGTAAAAAAAAAAAAATCATTATTTGAATACAGAGTTTTTAATATTATCAACATTTTAAATTTTTAATACAACATGAAATAGAAATTCTTTTTCATTTATAAAAATCTTTAAAAATACTAAATCATAATTAAATTAGTATTTAATACTTTACATTAATTTTATAAATAATAAAGAAAAATTTAAGTCCAAAGATATTTGTTTTTAGTTTGATTATCACCATTGAAGTCTGTATCCTTGACTACTAAACCTTATCATTTGGTTGACTAGTTCACCCCATAATCCCATCTATTTGAACCTAGATGTGACCCCAATTATTCTAATTTACCATTTTTTTTTTTTTTATCATCAATGTATTAAGAGAAGAAATTTGTGTCATTAAGTGATTAAAAAAAAATAAAAAAGGCTCACCCTTGTTAGATGGTTGAGATCTAAAGATGATGAGATCAAGTTAAACGCAAACAAGTATGGCAAGCATAACTTGAGTTTATATGAAGGTCGTGGTGCAGTGCGTAATGCTTATAAACCAGAGTTACCCTTATTAAATCATCTCATTTTCGAATTTTTTGAGCCATATGAACGAAGTACGAAGTTATTCGTAAAATTAAATGTTGTACTAACAAGTTTAAAGCTATGCGAAACACCTAAGTTTAACAAGCTTTAAGTGGAATTGGATTCTACAAAAGCCATCACGATATCGTCAACCAATTCAAAAACTTGGGAGATCCAGTGTGTTGAGAATATTAAGTCATTGGTGGTGAAGATGAATACGCAGTTATCCACATATTTTGTGAAGGTAATTGTATAGTGGATATTAAGTCATTGTGGTGAAGACGAAGACTCGAATTCCCCTCTGTTCGCTTGGTACAAACCAATGAACCATTTGGAAAACTTGAGAGGAATTTAATTTGTGCATGGACAATATCAATACACAATACTTGAGAATGAAGAGCTGGCGAGGGGAAAACATGTTCAAATTTCTCTCATTCTTCATCTAGGGTTTTCTGATTTTCTCTCTAAATTGTTCTCCGATTCTTGTTCTTTGTATAGTAAATCTTGAGAGGGTTTATGTTGTTTACTGGGTGCAGATAATAAGGGGAAGTGTTGAGTTTTCCAACCAACATCATTTCTCAACTTGACAGCCTTCTCGTTTCATGTATAATCCAAATTTGTCTAGTAACAAACAATTAATTCGAGTAACTTATCATTGAGAGTTTGGTGGTGTTTGTAATGGGGCATTATTTAGAATTTGGTAGTGTTTTAAATATTGACGGGAAAGTATGGGGTTTACATTTAAATATGATAAGGATCCATTTGACATGACTTTTATTTTTACTTTTGCATTTACTTTTATTTTTTTGTAAAAGAGTTTTTGGAGGAAATTATGTTAATTTTTGTTTGAAAACTGATTATTAAAAAAAATTCTTTTTGAAAGTATTTTTAAAGGAAGTCTCATTAGATCAACCCCATCTAAAAGTTCTTATAATTAGAAGAAATACTTTTATAAAATGAATTAAATGGATCTAAAAGTAGCTTTTGGATCTCAAAATGTCATTTTAGCTTTCAAAAGTTATGTCGAACTAGCCCTAAATCTCCTCAAATGTTTGATTAAAATAAGTAATTATCATTAAGAATAGAAATGGGTATTTCAATTTATTTATTACAAAAGGAAGTTTTTGGTCTAATTACTATTTGCATGAAAATAGAGGAACAATACATAATTTCTACATATAAGAATTACATTTCAAAACTAACATACTTATCAAATTATTTCAGAATTCAAGTGTTAATTTCAATTAATAATATATTATAAAAAATTTCAAAAAATTAAAAATCTTTATGAAAATTACACCACAGGAATGTCTTCCACCCACCTTACCATATCCTATCCTACCTACCCTACCCTACCCTACCCTAACCTTAAAAAACAAAAAATTAAAACCTTTTTTTTTTTTAGATTACGTCCCACCCCCACGGAATCAGCTCAGATTTGTAACTAACTATGTTATGTGTGATCTTTTTCTTTTCTTGTGATCAGACGTGTTTTATGTGACTAATTGTCAAAATTTATTTTCAGAATGATTGTATGTGATCGTCTAATTTGTGATTGTATATAACCAAGTCACTAACTTGTATTATCTATGACTACTTGTGACCAAATTTGTTTTCAGTGTAACTGTTTGTGACCGTCTAATTTATAAATTTATGTAACCAAGTCACTAATATGTGTCATCTAACTATGATCAAATTTGTTTTCAATGTATCTGACTGTGACAAGATCAATCTTAATTGTGACAGTATGTGATCAAATCACATTCAACACATATTTGCTCACGAGTCACCACAAACAAATCTATACACATCGCAGACCAGCACCACTAGTCACCACCACCATCCCCTCCAATGCGCCACCACTACCACCTTTAATTTAAATCCACAACCAAAAATAATGCCTTCACCTCAAATCCATAACAACAATCCACCACCATTACGTTACAATTACCTCCATCTACAATCCCGTTTTCACCTTCAGCTTCTCTGTAATGGCTACAATATTCCACTTTTCACTTTCCCCCAAGTCCCCATGCTCAATCCCGCATCCCTCATTCAAGGCAAGCGTAACCCAACAGGGCAAAATCAATCCAAAATAAAAGCGATCCAACATGAATCTGTAGATTGGCCATCTTATTCCTGTGGCACACCACCACTCTCATCACCACCGTCACCATGGCCATGTTATTCATTTGCCACAAACCACAAATTTCTATTAGTCACTAACAACCATAACCACATGAGTAGACTTGTGAATTCATCTTTTAAGAGAATTCTCAATCTAAAGCTTAAGGCAAATTCGTTTTGCCTTCCAATATCCTGTTTGTATCCCATATGATCTAAAAAGACTTGCGCAATGAATCGTTTGCACACTATGTGACAATGAATCATTTTAAACAAACTCATACCTTTCTTTATTCAGACCTAGTATTTCTATCGCCCATCTCACCAACAAACCAGACCAATTGTACCGACCATCACAGTATCTTAAAGTTATGAATTGCTCAATGATAAAAAGATTTCAATTTTCAATTCAATTCCAGAAATTTTTTAGAGAAAATCTAAATGAATTCCGAGAAAATCGGCTCAAATGGCTTCGTCGAAGGTGATGGCTTCAACATCAACACCCAATCTAAATTTGCAATGTTATACTTCTTCTTTATTTTCAATTATTGACCGACTAGTCACGGAAGAAACTTTGAAGAACATTTATTCTGATCCCAATTCATTTGCTATGAAGAGTGTTGGCGTCGAAGGTGGGGATGTCGTTGTGGACGTGGGGA